TGCTTCTGAATTAGCACAAGAGTTTACAGACCCTTTACACTATCTTAAAAATTCTCGGTTTAAGTAGGTGTCAGCTCAGTGACTACATGGAAAAAAAATGTTTAAACTGCTTTCAAGAGATTTAACAGTGATTTAGTTGCAATACCGTGCTCAATGATAGCGAGCCGCACGGGATGGGAGCCAAAAGTGAAAAAATCAGCAGCGCGTTTATTAACGAGAAGTACGGCCGTGCGCCTGGAGAGAAAGATTTTAGGGGTTGAGACTCAGTTGAAAGTGAACATAACAATCCGTCGACTAATCGTTACTTACGATGAGCACGACTTAATTGATAACTAGGCTCATATCACACACGGCTAACTTAATCTGTGAGAAATATAAAAAATGTTTAACATGAAAACCAGAAGCTGCAGCAACAGTTCTATATTTAATGACCATTTACGTGGCACTTCGCCGAAGCCAAATTTAACGAAAATTCAGCCAGCAGGAGTAAACATGGACCGACTACACCAACAATGGCTTTGCAGTTTCGCCAAAGTAAGCGAAGCGCCATTGGAGCTCTTCATCTAACTGAAGCTAAGTTGCATGAGCTACCAGTAAAGTTACGGAGAAAGGATTTACCACGCAAAACCGTTAATGAAATTCATGCCTCGTACAGCTACTTTTTTAGTGCGAAAGATTTATACACCTTCATGATTCAAGACGTGCAGCGTCCAGAGACGGATCCCGAAATTCGTCTTCATCGAATCGGATCAATCGGGATTTTGGAGGGAGGAAAATTCAGCGGGAAATTCAGCCTACAATGCTAGCGCCTACTGAGGATCGGGATTTAATAATGCATGAGTAACAATTACAATTTAGAAACAAGTGTGCGCTAGAAGCGTATCACTCTTGATAAACGCGGTTTGTTTGTAGAAATTCCGCTAAAAAAAATCTCGTGCTATTTTCCGTGTAATTCTGAGTAGCCGTAGCAACGTTAAGGAAACTACACATTGTTAACAAACTCCACAGTGTGGTGCTTGCTCAAAGTGTGCCTGACAAATTACCCTCAGTCGAAGGAATTGGTTTTAGCTGATCGCATCACAGTGAAAAATCAAAATTTTAGAATCTTATTGAAAAATCGAATGCAAAGAGCAAGAAAAATTTTTTACCTAAATTAAATGACATTTTTTTCGATTTTAATCCCCCTTTGAGTACTTAACACAATTATGACAACAAGGTGCAATGCAAAGTTTTTTTGGAATTCTAAAATTTTAAAGAGACTTTTTATTAGTTAATTATATATTTTTGCACATGTGTATTTTTGGGAATGCAACTATGAAGACTGCCCAGGTGAAAATATCTCATGAGATCCTACAACGGATCCCATATGTGATCCAATGTCAGATCTACATAGGATCTTATATCAGATCCTATGTAAGTTCTGACCTACGATTATCAACATGAGAACCTACGTAGGATCTTATATATGATCCCATGTCAATCAGCGAACAAAATTCATACATTTTGCATCGGATCCTACATGGGATCTTATATAGGATCCCATAAGAGTTGAATCATAAAATAAAATTTACTTCTTTCCCAAAGTTTCGGATAATTATATGAACAATCATCATAATAATACACATATAAGTGTGTATATCATTAAATACTATAAAAAAATAAGTTATTTATCAGTTTTATTACAATTAAAATGATATTATTTTTTAATCGTTACAAATAATTATATATCTGATTATCTTCATTAAATAGGAATTCTAAAAACGAGTATTTATAAAAATATTTATTCAAGATGAACTATAATTTATACAGGGTTCACTGTAAAGTACAATGATCGTAAACAGTGTTTAACAACTTTTATTGTTCATCGCAAGCAGAATTATACATTTTTGACATATTTAACAATCATGTTATATTAATAAGTTGATAGTTAAATAAATTATAAAAATGATACTTAATAATAAAATAGATTAGGCGTAGGACAAATGTATGACTTTTCACCAACTTCAACATAAACGCAAATGGATTTAATAGAATGAGTTGGTATTACAATTTGTGTTACACTTTCTGATAATGATACCCTTTTCAAACTTATTTCATCGAGTTTTATGTCTTTAGCTTCTTGCGAAATATTTTCCCCAAAAATATTTATCGATGATAATTTTATTGGTTGGCATAGTGTAAGTTCTAATTTAGACTCTGTATCTACGAAAAACTCTATTATTTCAACAAATTCATTATTTGTTAATTGCGCTTTGGAGTTATCGGACTTGATAGATGATTTCAATTTAGAAATGTACATACATCCGTTTTTATTCATGCGAAAATACGATTTACATGATTCTGGCAAACGAAATTTGGTCTTGTGTATGTGAGAAGTATTAATTCCTTTTCCAAAGTATCGGAGGTTTGTCAACTTAATAGATTTTTTTACTTTTGTACTTAATTTATTACTATTATATTTATTAAGTAAATCACAATCTTCCGAAAATAAGTGATTTTCTATTTTTCCAACGCACTGATTAATATTTATGTATCGCAGTATTTGTGAAATAATACCTCTTCCACTATGAATTGCTTGTAATAGCTCGTGGTTACCAGATTCAAATGCAAAAGCCGAGTGCGCCCAAACCGGACCCCAATTTTTCACACTATGACATATATGTAGGAGTTGATGGACATTAAATGTCATAGCCTTTTCATGAAAATTTTCCTCAGTTTTAGCAACAAATATATGGAGTAGTTCATCAGCTTTATCTAATTCTTTGATGGTTATATTTTCTTTCAATAATAAATATAAACTGTAGACTAAGAGACCCCAGTATTCAATTTCATCTTGTTCCAATGATGTTGAAAATATGGGTAAACTGGCATATAAAATCCAATTTTCCCATTCTCGACATTTCCAATATTTCGAGTGAGACAAGGGTCTAGCAATGCGACAGACTTGGTACGGAAATTTAATTTTATTTAAATAATCTTGGTACACTTCAACGTTACGGGAATTGATAAAGTAGTTGGTGATTTGTTTTCCAACGCCAGCCAAGTAGCAGTGCATATAGTCAGGCGTAAATCCCTCAATAATATTAAAATCTTTCAAGAGTATTAGTGGTGATATTTCTTTAAATCCAAATGAATTGTTATCACCTAAACTGTTTAAAATATTCATCGTATCTTCAACCGTTCTTAATGAGACTATTTGAACGGGGTATCTGGAAGCACGATATTTATACTTGGTTGGATGCAAACACCAACTGCATCCATACTTTCCATTAAATTGAGTCAACCCTTGCATAGGAGCTCTCGCAACAGTGTCTACACAACATACTAAGGCATACAATTTCAAGTTTAGATCGTTTCCTTTTATTTGGCATTTAATACCTTTCTCACGAAGATCATTAAACATATCAGAAAATACTTTAAGAAAATTTTTCATGTCGGGTTTTTTACGATTGAACCACAATGCGCATGGAATAATATTTTTGAATCGTTCCTGAACAGGCACTTCATTGATCATGATGTATATTGGCCAAACGGATAATGGGGAACTTTTAAATGGTGCCGCCCCGTCACTGTTAAAAGTAACAGTTAAGTACTGCCTACGGTCTTCATCAGAAAGAGAGGAAATGAATTGTCTGTACAGATCACCATCATAAATATCTTGATAATGTCCAATATTGTGAGTTCTTCGATTAATTACATAATCATAATAGTCTTCGTTGTCTTTTAATACATCTACAATTGCATTGGAGGGATCGATCATTACATAAAAATTGTTACTAGCTTGATCAATTTTTCCAATAACCTTATTACACTTATTACATTCAGAAGTCGGGTCAATATCTTCGAGTTTACCTAAATGGGCATTGCATTTGTCATTAGGACAAATAGCGTAAAAACATGAATTAGGTTTGCCGTTAAAAAATTTATCTATCATATATCGAGAATCAGGAAGTACAGGGTCTTGAAAAATCGAATTAATTAGCGTTAATAAAGTAGATAACGAAGATACAGATAATTTGTGCATAACGCTAAATTTTAAAACAAGAAAAAGTAGTTGGAGCGAACTTATTTTTACTGGACTCTTGATAATTTCAGAAAATCCTTCATCTTTTATAAGTTCTTCAAAAGTTGACGGTTTAAATTTATTTGTCTTTTGAGAATCAACTTCTATGTCACTTCCAAATATTTCTTCAGGAATGTAGTAAGTTTCTACATAATTTTCATCAACATCGTCGAACTGGTGTTCCTACATAAAAATGTGATGAAAATTCGTCAAATTTCAAATTTTTTTTTATAAAATTTTCACAATTATTGAAGTAAATGGATAAGATTTTTAAATTAAAGCATTCACGAGTTAACTGTGCCGTAAAAATCTTTGAATAAAAAATTTTAAGTATTGAGAAGTATGTGATACTGCAGCGCCTCTCAGTATTCAAAAATACCCCTGGGCAAATTTTAAAATCTATTCTTCGAATAGAAAAATGTATTAATTAAACAAAGGATTAATTATGTTGAATGAAGTCATATTATTAACCCTTTTCAACCCAAAACGACTCGAGTAAAATGATTCTAAGAATTCTCAAAGTTCCACAATACTATGTTAATTGCAAGATTAAAAAAATTGTTTTTGCAAGAAATTGCAAGATTAAAAAAAACGATTTTTGACCGAATCGAGAATTTTTTTGATCGATTTTAAAAAATTTTTACTCGTGATAATTTTGTCTCAAAATTAATATTTATTGAAAAAAAATTCACAGAAATAAAAATAAAATGTATTTTGCACGCCTTTATGCAACTCCTTGGCTAAAGTCGGCTCGGGTAAAGTAATGAGAACTTTTTTTTTTAACTCGAAAAAATGTTGCTTTTTTTTATTTCAACTGTATCATTGTACTAATCAAATTTTTTTTTGTATGTACTAATCAATTTATAATTTTATTATTTTTAATTCTACAGATTTATCTAGGATTACAAATATTTATCGATGAAGAAGTATGGCATTTATTAAAATTACAAAAAAATCCATGGATATTTATGCGCGACGTAGCTGATATTTTATGGACACCAATTAAACTCGTCAACAGAACATTTAGTGTCGGTCAATGTTCTACCAAAATCAATCCCAATTCGCCCAGAAAAAAATTAGAAAAGGATAAACTTAAACTTCTGAAAAGTAAAGTATCATTATTAAAAGTTAAAATATATTTTCAATAACATTTTTTTAATAACAATAAAAATATATTTTTAGCCATATTAACAGAATACTGTGTAGAGAAGCGGATGACTAAAAAGGAGATAGCTAAAGTTAAAGAATCCTTCAATAAAAAATTGACCCAAAAAATCGCCGATTTGAAGAAAACCTTCCGTCGAGTAAAAGAAATGCTACCAAACAACAACAGCGTATGGCTCTTGGATGAAAAAACTGTTGAAGAGTATTATTCTCAGATTAGAAAACGATTAGAAGAATTGAATAACATTTAATTTAAAAGTGGTCAAATGAGAGTTAAGTTATTAGAGGACTTATTAAAGTTTAAGTTTTTTTTACTTTAATTTATAAAGTGTTTTTGAAAAAAATTTAAAATAAAAAATATCATATAAGAAGTTAGGTGAAAGAAAAAGAAACCAAATTCTATGAATACTGTAAGTCTATAAAATATTTGTAGCAAAAAACTATTATTTTAGTTTTAAATTGTGTTGATTGTTATTTTTAGTTAATTAATGGAAAAAGTCATTTTTTAGTAACTTAAAAGTATTTGGTGCAAAAAAAACGTTTCTTTAGTTTTAGATTTTGTATTTACACTGAGTTTACTTCAATTCTGTTTCGTCTAGTTTCTTAAAAATTGAGAAGTAAAAATCTGAACCGCAATGTCTATATTTTACTTTCATGTAAATGAAATTAAAACTTTCAGCTTTATGAAGAGGTCAAAGATATTACGGTACTTTTTTGCCTTGGAACTTGATGTAATCGTAACAGACAGAATTGAAATCAAGCAAGTGTGTTATATAATATTGATAGCAAATTAAAAACGAATGTTCCTTTAGAAAAATACATATGTTTGATTGATATGTTACTACCAAATAAAAAATGCTCCTTAATCAAAACAAAAAATTATATTTTTTTTTATAACTCTAAAATACTTGTTATAAAAAACTGTTCCTTTAGTTTTAAAATAAATTTATTAATATTTTTGTAGCAAATTAAAAATGTTCGTTAATTATTTGAAAAAGTTTTATTTTTGTAGTAACTTTGAAATTTTGGTGCAAGAAAAGCGTTTCTTTAGTTTTATATTTTGTATTTACACTGGGTTGACTTTAAATCTGTCTGCTTTAGTTTCTTAAAAATTGAAAAATATAAATCTGAGCTGCAGTCTCTTTGAGCTTTTACTTTTATGAAAATGAAATAAAAACTTTCAGATGCTTCTTTAGTGAAATATATATGTGTGATTGATATGTTACTAGTAAATGAAAACAAAGTATCTATAAAGTTTTATAAAACTGACAAATAACTTATTTTTTTATAGTATGTAACGATATACACACTTACGTTTTTGTATTTTCCAGTGATAATAATAAACACTATTTATCGTAATAATAAAATAAGTTAATACTTAATTTTTTCAAATTTAGAGTAAGTTGAAGATGATTGTTCATATAATTATCCGAAACTTTGGGAAAGAAGAAAAATTTTATTTTATGATTCAACTCTTATGGGATCCTATATAAGATCCCATGTAGGATCCGATGCAAAATGTATGAATTTTGTTCGCTGATTGACATGGGATAAAGAACCTATAATATAAGAACCTACATATAAGATCCTACGTAGGTTCTCATGTCGATAATCGTAGGTCAGAACTTACATAGGATCTGATATAAGATCCTATGTAGATCTGACATTGGATCACATATGGGAACCGTTGTAGGATCTCATGAGATATTTTCACCTGGGTGTTGTTGAAACAATGTGAAAAATTGTATATAATCTATGTCAAATTTATGTTGATAAAATTGAACTTACCCTGATGATCACCTGATGACTTATTATCAGGAGAAGATGATTCATTATCAGAAGAGGATGATTCATTTTCAGAAGAAGGTTCATATTCGCTTGACTCATCTTTTTCTTCAGATTCAGATTCACACTCATTGTAACATTTAGCTTTTGATTTACGCAACTCATTTTTCGAACCATAAGTTATAGCTAGCTGAGTTTGATTTGTTTCTGACGTTGAGTTGCGAGAAGTACTAGGAAAAGATTTCAAATTTGAAATTGCATTCCTTTTTTTTCCTGAAACTAAATTTTTAACTTTTAATTTCTCTTTTGGAATGGATGATTCTAATTCGCTATAGAAATTTGAATCACGCTTACGGCAAGATTTTTTAATATTTTTTTTAGGTAGTCCTTCGTTTTTATTTTCTTTAAAATCAGATTCTTCTGATGAACAATTATGCTGAAAAAAATGAAATATTATGTAATGTTACAACAAGAATATTTGTGAAATGCTCCGAAACACTTATTGTTTTGTAGAACCTTGTCAAACCTCCAATTATGCATTAATATCAAATTTTACTAGTTACCGACGATCCAAAGTATAAAAAAAATGAAAATTAAAAATTAATTACCAGCACTTCAACTAAACCGTAGATCGCGCTAGAGTGCTGTTGAAAATATTTAAATGTAGTTTATTTGAAAAATAAGTGAATCACTAATCTGTTAAAAAATATATTATGGTTCATGCTATTCTAATTTTTGTTCTAAATAGATATCTAAATTTCACTTCTTTGTATTAAAAGAAGCCTTCCCCTTAAACTATTGCCGTTTTTAAGATTAATCAAAAGTTGTATATTCTATCCAGTCTCGGTTCCTCACTCTGTATTTTTCCATGAGAAAAAGGTGTAACCCTAAAAACATTTTTTTATTGGCTCTATAAATAGAATGATTTATTGGGGTTTTCTGATCCACTGATTCAATTTTCTTCTACGGTACACAAACATTTCTGATGAAGCCATTTATTGTAATTTACATGTTGATATAAAATGAACTATAATTTAATGTTATTAAAAATGGTACTATCAAAAAAAGTTCGTTAGTAATAGGACAAAAAATAATTCTTTTACAGAAGAAAAATGCATGTCATCTTATAATTATCAAACCAATTATTTAATTTGCCAATCGAACATGTAGTTTGATAATTAATTATAAGATGAAATGCATTTTTATGCTCTAAAATAATTCATATTTGAGAAAACTACTATCGAATCATTTTTAAGGTTGGCAAATCTGTGAATGTACCATTGTATCAAAAGCTATATAAAGATCTATTGATCATGTATTTTTATAATAGATGCGAGCTTGTAGCTAAAAGTTTAAGAAAAAATTTCAAGTCGAAGCAAATGAGATATTGTTTTACGAAATTCTACTTTCTCACAACATTTCAAAAAAGTAAAAACAAGTAATTATAATACACCATGCACTTTTAAGGTATATAATAATGCGATATTCAGAAAATCACTATCGAATTATTTTTTTAAGGTTGGCAAATCTGTGAATGTGGACTTGCATCAAAAACTATATTAAAGGTCCATGGTTTCGGTATTTCTACAATAGATTTTTTTTGAGAGACAGTACTTTAATACGTCTTACTATTATTGGACTCGCAAAAGCAAAGCTTATTGCAAGTCCATTTTCGTATCGTGATTGAGTCGATTGCTAAAGATGACACATCAATGTGCTAAAATTTAAAGTAATTAATTGCACGAAAACGAAAAAATTAAATAGATGGGACCTTTAAATACGGATATTTTCGATGAAAAAACAATTATATACATTTTTTAACTGTATGTTGTAAAATTCTGTGATAGCCATGGAAAAATGTGGGCTGACGCGAAACAATTATAGTGGAGAATCATTTAGCTTAGAATCGATTATACGCGTAAAGACCGCAAATAAAAGTGGCACTGTGCTGGCGATTATGCCAACTTGAGCCATTGTAAAAATTATAACTTTAAAATTAAGCCGCATATTAAAAAGTCATTGAAATTTTTAATTATTTTTCCAAAGATTCATTTTTTAAGTATAAAGTGATGCTGGATTTAGTATGTAGTTATTAAAAATCATATTTATAACCTAAAAACCCCTTAAATATACAAATATAAGATCAAATTTTGCATAAAAAATAGTTATTTAAAATTTGTTTCATATTAACCCAAAAAAATAAGAATACAATATTAAAAATGAAAGTCCAACTTTGAAGCCCTTTATATTCATGAGGGATAGTCCGAGGGCTAAAATTTTTATACTTAGTTTTAATTTTATTTTTTGAACTGTAAACTCTTTTTTGATATGACCCATATACGCCACTCATAAAAATAGTCTTTAGTTTTTTATTGCAGTTGTAAAATACGTTTCAAAGTTATATCTCTTACAACTATTAAAACTTAAGTCACACCACAACTGAAAAATTAACTTCATTAATACTAAACAAAATAGCCTATAAAATATTTCATAGAAAAAAAGGAATACAGCTTATTGAAAAAAGTCATCAAAACATTTATATTATCCTTTCCAAGGATCTCTAGCTACTAGGCTTAGTACAAACAAAATAGATTTTCAAGCTGTAATTCGACTACCATTTGTATTGTCATAGTTGTTAGAGTTATGAACATTAAACCAAGGTTTTCATCACACTAAGTAATCGCCATTTGAAAAATCTTTTCTACTTTGTACTATGAGTGGAGATTTGATTCAAAGTACAAGGTGTGTCACCTGAACCAATTAAAAAATAAAATTAAGATTGTAAAAGTTAAAATCTTAAATCTAAGACCGTTACTAAAAAAATTCATTACTATTTTTCAATTCATTCATGAAAGATCTATTTTTTCTCTATATAGAAAGTGTAACTTTGTTCAGTATTAACAAAGTTGATTTTCTTGCTGTAGTTTGACAAAATGTTTCTAATTTGTAAGGGTCTGTGGCACATATTAAACAAAGGATCAGTACTTATTCATTTCTTTTTCATGAATCTATTTTTTTCTATATGTATATAGTGATACTTGCTTCAGTATCAACAAATTGACTTCTTTTGATATGCAACTACCATTTGTCATAGTTCATGGGGTCAGAATTCTAAAAATATGTCTTGTATCAAATTAATGTACAAATACTTTTTAATCAAATGGACACGATAGGTTTCCTAATGTGTTATTAAAACTATGAGTATTGCAGTTAATTACTATTAAACTGGGGGTATTGGGTTTTCAACTTGATTAAACCTGTCATTAAACGAAGTCGTAAATACTTCTTAATTGCCTTTTCAAAAAACTTTTTTCTATAATTATACGTATATTTAATGATGCAATATTCGACGAGTCTACTATTCAATAAGTGCATCAGAACGAAATCTTGATTGAGGTCAATAAATAATAAAAAACTGATATTTATTTAATAATAATTACCTCCATATTGATGACTATATTCTCCA